AAAAAAAAAAAACCAACATAATATATTAGAAGGCATTAGAAGCCCTGGGTTTCAATGAGATTGACCAGAGCTAGTGGTAAACCAATCCAAAGCAGAGTGATTGCTCAAAAAGAATAGAAAAAAAAAGAAAAGTGGATTCCCAAGCTGAGAACCAAATAGCTAAGAGACAGTCAAAAATTGAAGAAGGGTTGATGAGTAATTGAAATAAAAAACTATGTGCATAAGGGCCCAGACAGAATCCTGCCAGACACAGAAATCTGGCTTTGGCTGGGCTGACCTTTATCCATGTGCCCTCCCCACTTCCCTCCCCATTTGAGGTTTTTGAGAAAATTTTGCCCAGATTCTGACAAGGGAGATCTGTGGCCCAGAGATCAACCACCATAAGAAATGGGTGCCTTTGTGCAAGCTGTTCACTCTTGGTGGGTTAAGCCTCTTAATCTGAAGGACCTGTTTGCTGTTGAAGGACCTGAGCCACCGAAGCCTCGGATGCTTTCTTGGATGCAAACAAAGACACAAAATTTCCTTTGGCAGGGGGGAAAAGCAAGAGATCTGGGTACTATTGCATCAAAAGCCAGGATATCCACGACTGGCCCTGGTCCTTTCTAACTCACTGTGTGATTTTAAACATCTAACTTCTCTCTGAGACTCAGTCTTCCCATCTTTAAAACAAGGGAATTGGAATTTAGCAGTTCTAAGCCTGAAATGTTCCTCAGAAACACATCTGTGGGGGCAGGGGGATGGTATACACATTTTAAGAAAGATTAAAGCTGTATTACAATTATAATACTTAATACATACCAATAACAAAAGATGGATACAAGTCATATTTGACTCTGGGGATTACAAGGAAATCTCCAAGTATATACATAATATGTAATACATTGATACCATTCTTACAATGTGTATACACTTTTTGACACCTTCTGTGTGTATGTATACGTATATGTGTGTGTGTGTGTGTGTGTGTAGGTCAAGGTCCCACCTCAGATCTACTGACCCAAAAACCCAGGTAGAAGATGCCAGGATGAGTACTTTTGTTGTTGTTGTTTTTGAGATAGGATCTCACTCTGTCACCCAGACTGGAGTGCAGTAGCATGATTATAGTTCCTTGCAGCCTCAAACTCCTAGGCTCAAGTGATCTTCCCAGTCTCAGCCTCTCCCAGTAGCTGGGATTATAAGCACAAGCCACCGCTCCTGGC